TTCCCTGTGGGGTGGGAAAATTCAGACTGAAAGAGGGGAAATTGAGGCTGGAAACATGGAAGAAATCCTTCCCTGTGGGGTGGGAAAATTTAAGCTGAAAGAGGGAAAATTGAAGTTGGAGAAAAGGGAGAAATCCTTCCATGTGAGGTGGGAAGATTTAGACTGAAAGAGGGGAAATTGAGGTTGCAAACATGGGAGAAATCCTCCCCTGTGGGGTGGAAAGATTTAGACTGAAAGAGGGAAATTGAGGTTGGAGAAAAGGGAGAAATCCTTTCCTGTGGGGTGGGAAAATTCAGATTGAAACAGAGGGAAATTCAGGTTGGGGATAAGGGAGAAATCCTTCCTTGTGGGGTGGAAAGATTTAGACTGAAAGAGGGAAATTGAGGTTGGAGAAAAGGGAGAAATCCTTCCTTGTGAGGTGGGAAAATTCAGATTGGAACAGAGGGAAATTCAGGTTGGAGAAAATGGAGAAATCCTTCTGTGGGGTGGAAAGATTTAGACTGAAAAAAGGAAAATTCTTCCCCTGTGGGGTGGGAAAATTCAGACTGAAAGAGGGGAAATTGAGGTTGGAAACATGGGAGAAACCCTTCCTTGTAGGGTGGGAAAATTCAGATTGAAACAGAGGGAAATTGAGGTTGGGGAAAATGGAGAAATCCGTCCCTGTGAGGTGAGAAAATTCAGACTGAAAGAGGGAAAATTCAGGTTTGGGATAAGGGAAAAATCCTTCCCTGTGGGGTGGGAAAATTCAGATTGAAACAGAGGGAAATTGAGGTTGGAGAAAATGGAGAAATCCTTCTGTGGGGTGGAAAAATTCAGATTGAAAGAGGGGAAATTGAAGTTGGAGATAAGGGGAGAAATCCTTCTGTGAGGTGGAGAGGTGTAGATGGAAAGAGGGGAAATTGAGGTTGGAAATGTGGGAGAAATCCTTCCCTGTGGGGTGGGAAGATTTAGACTGAAAAAATGAAAATTCTTCCCTGTGGGGTGGGAAAATTCAGACTGAAAGAGGGGAAATTGAGGTTGGAAATATGGGAGAAATCCTTCTGTGGGGTGGGAAAATTCAGATTGAAAGAAGGAAAATCCTTCCCTGTGGAGTGGGAAAATTCAGACTGAAAGAGGGGAAATTGAGGTTGGGGAAAAGGGAGAAATCCTTCCCTGTGAGGTGGAAAAATTCAGATTGAAAGAGGGGAAATTGAGGTTGGAGATGTGGGAGAAATCCTTCTGTGGGGTGGGAAAATTCAGACTGAAAGAGGGAAAATTCAGGTTGGAGAAAAGGGAGAAATCCTTCTGTGGGGTGGGAAGATTTAGACTGAAAAAAGGAAAATTCTTCCCTGTGGGGTGTGAAAATTCAGATTGGAACACAGGGAAATTGAGGTTGGAAATGTGGGACAAATCCTTCCCTGTGGGGTGGGGAAACCCTGGCACAGACGATTCCATGGATTCCCCATCCCTGGAAGTGTCCAAGGCCAGGCTTTCATTCAAAGATGACAATGAACCTTTAAATTCCATTCAAAAATAACAATCAACCTCTAAATTTCATTTAAAGATAACAATAAACCTTTAAATTTCACTCAAAGATAACAATCAACCTTTAAATTTCACTCAAATATTACAATCAACCTCTAAATTTCATTCAAAGATGAAAATGAACCCCTAAATTTCATTCAAATATTACAATGAACCTTTAAATTTCATTCAAATATTACAATCAACCTCTAAATTTCACTCAAAGATGACAATCAACCTTTAAATTCCATTCAAAGATTACAATCAACCTTTAAATTTCACTCAAAGATGATAATAAACCTCTAAATTTCATTCAAAAATGACAATAAACCTTTAAATTCCATTCAAAGATGAAAATGAACCCCTAAATTTCATTCAAATATTACAATAAACCTCTAAATTTCATTCAAAAATGACAATGAACCTTTAAATTTCACTCAAAAATGACAATAAACCTTTATCTCCACTGTCCTTTTGGTTATGTAAATCAATTGTGATTTGCTTAATAAATTTATTA